TCGGAAGAGAAATACATACCAGAACAGCTTAGAAGGGAAGCTCATTACTCAAAATAATTCTCTGGCACGCTCTCCCAAAGTGGTGTATGAACATGAAAAATTAGATGTATTATAACAGATATCTGTGTAACAGAAGAATGACACGATTAGGTTTCCTATCTAATTCTCTGCTTTACCATGGTACAATACACAAACATGGATGTACTCTTGTGTTGACTGTATAGCACTCAAGCATTTGTTTCCTGAAATTAGAATCGAAATGTGACATGATTTGATTATGGTCCCTAATCTGGGACAACAGGCAATAGAGATGATCCACTGCTCTGAAGGGTCAACTCTCCCACGTGCGGTCAATCTGTTAGATTGAACGTGTACATCCAAGGATCTGGCTGCCAGAACATGTTCTTCCAAGATAAAAACCTGTGACACCGTTCTGCAGAGTGCTATGGTGCTGAGCACAGTGATGTTTAGACTGCAGAAGTGGAATACACAGCTGGAGGAGAGGTTGGAGAAAGAACAATTTGCACCAGCCTCACAGCACTTCCTACGAGCTATGGAGAGCACAGTTGCTCATAGTGGAAACCAGGGCATGGAGGCCGCGGAACAGGGGGTGCAGTGTTTCTGCAATGCAATAAAGTAACTGGCAGGATTCACAAGGATGTGATTTACCTCCCAGTTCTGCTTCGGAAGATCTCTAGTAGAGTCACCTTAACTGAATCATGCACATGTCTACACATCGCCAGTGTAGGCAAATATCCTTTCTGTGCCTGCCAACGTGATTTCTCCCCCTATGACCTTGCACTTCACTTTACTGAAAGAAATAATCTTTCTCCTTCCTTTTGTCTTTGTTACCTTGAGATACTTTCTGAAGTCAAGTGGGGTTTTTTAAAAACTATTGTACATGTCTCATGGACATTAATACTTTGTTCTAAGCATTCAGCACATAGAATGAGAAAAACTAGAATGCTGAAAACTTATCAAAAAACTACACCAAGAAATTAAACTGTCCCTGTGTTCTAATTTAGGAACAGGTTCTCATTTAAACTGAGGGCCTTTAACACTGCCTTAAATTGGATAAAAGTGCAATTTATACCCACTGGGAGGCCTCTCTCTGCTGCCAGAGCAGGGGAAAGAGAACAGCATAGCTTTACTGTATTTTAGAAAAAAATGCATTTTATTTTACTAGGTGAGCTATTGCCATCACAGGCATTCAGTACCTGTGTTAGCTGTATAAATAGCTGTAGCTGAGAGCACAAGAGATTTTGACTCAGCTACCACAAAAGACAGTCCAAATTCCTTTGTACTTCAGAAATAGCAATTTGGGGACTGGACAGAGGGTGGTCACAGAAGACAATAACTCTGCTCAGTGGCTTTCTGCCACAAAAGTTTTAAGTGTTCTAACAAGTTTTCACTGAAGCATCTGCAAAACACAGAACTCAGAAATGTGAATGTATGGACAGGTAAAAGGTGAAGTTTCCAAAACTCTACAAAGCAGACAAGGATCTACCTTAGCATATTTGCTAGTGTTTGGTTTTTAAAATTAAAACAGCTCATACATATTTAAACCATTTCAGAGTCATTTACATGCTTTTGACAAGGTAGAAAACACTGCACCTTCCTGAAAATGATGTTCAATGCACAGGCCATGTAGACACAAATCTTACCTCCTCATTTTCGATTTTGAGTGTGGCCAATCGTGACTGTAGTTGCTGATACCTAAGCATAAGCTCTGCTTGCACAGGTTGCTGGGCAGTGACCTGACAAACCTAACAAAGAATCAAAAAGAGCTGTAAGATGCAAGAAAGAAAAAAACCAGTCAATAGTCTTTAGTTGCTCTCCTTAAAACTAGGTGAATTACTACCAAAGCCATTAAAGCTTAATAAAGCGGACAATGAAATGTGTCCATCTAAATCGAAATTATTTATGTGTTAGAAGATGTGGAACTACTATTATATCTTACGACTACATAGCACAGCCTTGTTGTGTGGCTGCTTTGAGTTGCTTCTCTATCACACAGAAATGCAATGGAGTTACCTTCAAATAAAAATGTACACGGGTGATTCTGCATTGTGCTTTGCTACTAGCCTTTGGCGTAGCAGAACAGGGCACAGCTGGGGTACCCGGTACGCTTGAATTCTCCAGATGATAAAATGGGGGAGGAAGAAGGTAAAAAGGCTGCATTTCAGCATGCATAATTTGGAGCAGCTCTGCAGCTGCTCTCAAATAGCACCCACAAGCCTCTGTTATGGGTGAGGCTGGTACTGAAGACATAAAGCCACTACTTACACCGGTGCTGGGCTGAGCACAGATTGGCCAGCAAATCCGCAGCAATGTCATTATGAGTAATACAGAATATAATAACACACAACAGTTTTTACTTGAGAACTCTGAAGAAGCTCAGAATAGCGCTGCCAGTTTTGCAAAATGTTATTGCTGATCCACTTGCTTTTGGGTAGCAATAACAGCTTTTACAAAACTCTTTGTAAAAGGGGATAAATTCTCTTTCTTGGTATACAGACACAGAAACAGTCACCATGGGGATACTTGTCACTATACAGACCTCATCTCCCATATGAGACTGGAACTCAAATTTCATTGGTGGACAAAAAGCGGTGGGGTACATTTCCATGAATCTCTGCTTGTCACTTCGTGGCTCCAAACTGTCAACTGCATTTTCAATGATGTCTAAGCCCTCATGCCTGGAAGTTTCAAGGTTATACTCTGCAGAAAGGTATGTTCTCAGGGCTCTGTTCAGACTAGCGTGGTATCCAAGATCGCAACACTAAAAACACAATAAAGGTTAAAGAAAATAAATGAAACATCATTCCAATATTCCAAGCCACAAATTATCACTAAGATTTTCTGTCCTGAAATTCCGTCCTGTCTTCAAGTATTTTACAAAATATCTTGTAAATTAAAATACAGTACTGAGGTCAAGGCAGTAAGTATTTAGTATCCTCATTCTATTGCAAAGATTAAAGGACAGTTTTAGGAAAGAGATCAAGTGTACAAGTATGGCAATATGTTTGCATTTGTTCATCAGATACAGATGTGCAGTTACTGTATTTACATAGAAAAGGTCTGGGACTCCACACACAAGTGGGCTTTTCAGTATTATTGTCATATGTAAGCCTCAGATCACCTGTTTAAACCCATCCTGATATAACTCCACCATCTAAGTCAATGCTAGCACCAAATTGAAAATGAAGCAATTCCTGCTCACCATGTCTGTGCCCAAACAAAAAAACCCACAACTGCCTCTTGCATTAGTGACTCATCTAAGATGCTTTTTGATGCAATGAGAATGGTTTAACATCCTTTCCCCTGACGGTGAGAACGTATTTACTGTAAACACCTTATTTCCCATACTCACACAGAGCCAGCAATGTACATCATGTTACTAAATGCAGAAAGTCATAATTTATGTCTTTTTTTCTAGGGGTGAGAATAACACTGGAATGTAATTGAAACGTAATTGGTAGAACATAAAATTGTGTTTGTTCTTGAATTTTAAACATCCTTGGTTTGCATTATTCATGATTGGTTAATATTTTAGAAGAACAGTGGAATATATTTTTAAAATGTCACAGCAGCAGCGTATCAAGTGATTGTTTCCTTAATTTTTTCCCCACATTACACAGTAAACAATATCCTCAGCTTCTGCTCAGTGAGCTTCCAGGTAATGGCAGATGTATCGCAAACCTCTCTGTCACCCCAATAGTGGCACATCAGTCTGCTAACAGTTGCATACAAAGCAATGTTCTTTATTCGAACAGGAGAGACTTGTCCCAGTCAGAGGCCACTGCCTGGCTAGGGCAGTCAGGGAGCACGCTGCTTTAGGGCATCCCTCAGCCCCCAGCCACCCATCCTGGGTGCCCACCTGCAGTTTAAAATCATCCTTCTCTGCAGGACTTGCAAGTTAAGCGATGCAGTTGGGTAAAGAAGCAATTTGAATTCAGTCCACTGTAGACCACGTTTATAAGCGTACCTCTCTCACAGCTATCAAAACCCCTTAGGACTCATGGGATCATGTTCCCCTTGCTTTTCTCTTCCTTATTTGAAAAAGGAGAGAAAAAGAGAGGGAGGGAGACAGACAGACAGACATACAGATGCACACACTGCATAGTAAAGAGTTTTCAACCTATTTACCATACCTAAACTTGTGTGTAGAAGAGAAAGAAACCCTAATGCACTAATGAGGAGTGATCAAACTGCTCTCTGAAATCTGACAACAGAGGGCTGTTTTATTCACAACAGAACTTCCAGAAAGACTAAGCTTTCAGTCCTAGTGAGTACTCCAGGTAGAACTGCAGATGGGACAGTGGCTCTCCAAAAACCAGTTGCTGAACCATTTAAAGAAAACGGTAAAAAGATGCCATGTTCAAACATACATAGGTTAACCTCCCTCTTTTGCATTTATAGAATGGAAATTTTTGTTACACTTACTAAAACAGCCCCTCAACTTTTATACTAAACCACAGCCATATTTCAAAGACCTCCAGCCTAAAAAATATTGCTTCTAAAAGGAAAAGTCTCTTGGTGTTCTCCTCTTGTTCTGTGTCAAATCAGATCTCATATTTAATTCACTATCTTGGATGAAAAAGACAGACTAAAAGTGCTGATAAGAAAGTGGATCAGGACAGCTGTTTTATTTCATGTGCATTAGTTTCAGAGAGACCTCATGGAAGATTAAACTGAGAGGAAATGAGAAATAGAGGGCAATGCCAGGTTTAGCATGGCCAACTATCCATGTATTATAAAACTACAGGCATCTAGAGCCTGAATTTTGGCTCTAGAGGATTAATCTGAGTATTAACAGAAAGCTTATTGATTTACAATTAGAGCTGTGTGGGTTTCTGATGCAGCTTTTTTGCAAATTGGAATATAAGATCGCAGCCTTTATGCTGTGACAGTACCAAGAACTTCCTTGTTTAACCCTTAATCTACTCAGTAACTATCACCATGGTCATCTTTTGCAAGTGATGACAGCTGAACAGGGTAACAAATATGGCCTCTCAGCCAAGAAGAAGGATTCTTCAAGTGAAGCAGAACATCCTGCCAGACTATGGCATTTTCTTGCAATGCCAATGCCAGCAGAGTGAACAAGAACTAAATCCAGAATCTGAACTAATGCCTTATCACCAGTGGCTCTTTGAATGGAATTTAAAATGCCTGAATTTGGAATTTTTCTTCAATGATTTAAGTAAAAATAGAATTTGTATGAGTAAAGTTATGTTTTAAAAGCAAAAATAAGCACTCAGACGTCACAACTCTTACTTCTGCCAGACCATAGTTCACTTCCTCCAAAATTTGGAGACAAAGATAATTTTAACTGGGGAACGGCTCTGTCACAATATCAATTCATGGCTACTCAGAAAGAGGAGTACTGTTTTAAACTGCTAGTACTAGTGACGGTTTAGAAAGAGAGTTGTCTATAACGGAGATGGCACTTTGGGTATTTGTTCATTACTAAGACTAAAAATTGAAGGCACTGCCACTAAACTGCTGCCCCCCCGCCCCCGCATCCTGTCTGACTACGCTTGGAAAGAAAATCACCAACCTTTCCGGTGTTGCAAAAAAGCACATATGTATGCAGATACATACAGACACACATACATGTATACACAATTTTCAGGAAAAATCTGTAGATTTGTAGAAAGATTCGGAAAGTTAAAGCAAGCAACCACACTGTTAGCCAAATAAACATGAATCACTAATCAGCACACGAAGGCTACAGCCTGGATGGCTAATGAGATCTGCTATCAACCTATGGGCTAGAGAGATGAGATGTCAGTTGGTGCAGCAAGACATGAAGATGAGAAATGAGAGAATGAAGTCATAGACTATGACTTTTATTGCATTTCTGGATTCATAAAGACTTCTGGTTGGGCAAAGTAGAGGGAGATGAGTGATGCATTTGGGATATGTGTGAAAAATTAATTTTGTAATTTGCATTTTATTCTTATTTGGAATTAAATCTGAAGCAGTCTCAAGAGCATTTACTGTCTTTATTGCTCCCCAGAGTATATTTAGGTTTGAACAAAACAAACTGCAGTGCTTAGCACAGAGCTTCAACCAAACAAGCAAGCTGCTCTTCATTTCATTTCAGGAATAATAATAAAATTCTAATGCCAATGGAGAGAGAAATTCATAGAAAAACGCCTTAACCTCTGAATAAGTTACTTTCTGATCATCCTGTTACACAGACATCAACATTCAAATCAAAGGGATCTGGCTGTACATATCATATTTATGAGAAGTTACGTAACAAAGATTGTGAGTTGCACACACTCTAGCCTAGTTTTAAACTTGGTTCTATGAATGATTAACAAAGAACCTTTACAGAATAAATGAAGTTCATAATAGCTAAATGTTCCCTAACTTCCTAACTATCCAAAGCATGCAGACTGCAATTAGAGATTCAGAAACCCCACTCTAAGAAAGACCAACACATGAATATTTTATTTATTGTAGCAGCAGAACTACAATTGTAGTCAAATTGTTTTGATCACTATTTCCTAGCATTTACCTTCAGATCATGAGTGCATGGTAAGCTGAAAAAAGGTCCCTACCTTCCTCTTATATCCAGTTAAATTTAATAAACTCAATCACATGGAAATCTTCAACTAAATGAGCAATAATATGTGCCATATGGACAGATGTTGGTACCAACAGTCAGATTAGCAAGGGTGTGTACTCTGTTGCTCCTCTGAAACCTACATTCTTAAAAAAAAAAAAAATTCTACATACTAGGTAAAGCGTATTTAATTCAACTAAAAAATAACCTTTGCTACTTTTTACATAATACAAATAAAGAAAAAAACTAATCATGTCCTCCACTTGAACTAGATCCTACAATATAGTCAGCAGAGAAGAAATATTCAACAGAAAATTCAAATTCCTCTAGCACAATTTGCAGAAGACAGAAATCACTGTGCATATCAAATCCTGTTTATCCCTCTACTTCTTTGCAAATGCTGGTCCCAACCCTCAGCTCACTAAATGCATTAAAGCATCCAGCTAAGACTCCAGCAATATTTTTATCTTGCTTTTATCACAAGAGCTTAAGATGAACAACACATCATCATTTTAAGTCAGAAGCTCTGAGCTTTGTTAATGAAATGAAGGAGTTGAACAGTTCAGAACGAGTTCAGCTGAGGAACTGCAATTTAGGATTTTCCATATGAGCCTCACAAATCAAGCTGCAGTGGAATCCAAACGAAAAAACTATGACATTTTTTGTAAAAAAAAAATCCCAATCTTGTTATAAAAAATATATATTGAACAGTTCACTGCATTCCATCATATATTTATCCCATTTTTCTCAGAAATATTTTTCAGTAACGTAGGAAAATACTCAGTTTCATTTATGGGCAACACCAACAGCTCGGGGAGATCTAAATCCCTTCCATGTTAACTGGAATTCGGACACAGAGGAGAAGTAATCCCCTTCTGTACAGGCAAAGAGAGAGCTCAGGCATGCACAGAAAGGCAGGCAGGCAGATGGGGACAAAGTAGAGAGGGCAAAGAATGAAATCGCCACCACTGCTCTGAAAACTCCGAATCGTACCATTACATTAATAGATTTACAGAATGAGATAGTCTGGACTTTTGCAACATATGGCCAGTGGGAAGCATGTCTCACATCCCAACGATATAACCCTAAAATCTTGCCAAGACTCTTGCATTTACAAAAAGCGTTTCCTTTGTCAAGTAGTAAACACTCTGTCTAGATACCAATGCTTTCACAGCATATTCTGATTAAATACAAATGTCTGAAAGACACTTCATTTAGACAAGCTCACAATCGGATTAAATTGGCTCTGAAGCAATTTCTGGTTGCACATGTTTTCAGCCTACTCTTAGAAAACAGTGATGCAAAGGGCAGCTAGACTTTCCATTTAAATTCCTTAGGGAAGAGTAATTTCTAAAGCCATTTTGCCAAAAGAATGTTATTGTCTACATTGGCCCATGGCTTGGAAAAAGCCACGCAAAGTAGGTATCGTTTTCCTGCATTACTGAATACTGTAGAATTTATATTTCTATTAAAAACTAGCAGTTAGAAAGCTCTAGTCTTCATGGTTGTGTAAATATCTTCTCAAACAGTAACTCCAAAGAGTGTTGTCTTTGTACGTATATGCAGAGAGAGCTTCACTTTGCTTCTCCTTGCAATTCTGTGTGAAGCTCCAGACCTGTGGTTCCTCCCCTCAGCTTTCACTGCTATGGCAACCTCTGTGGACATTGATGAAATGGGTAAAAATCAGGTGTATTTTCCAACCTGAGAAAGTTTTGACCAAGTAAAAACATGCACTGGAGACGTTCACTGGGAAATGTGAGCTCCGAAAGAGAAAGCAGGAGAGAAGACAAAATGAGCATCTTTCCAACCTCTGAAGGGGTAGGGGTGCTGGGAACAGAGGGAAAGGACCTTTCCTTCCTTCCAGGAGCCAGGAAGAACTCATAAAGTTCACATTTATCAGCCATGCCCTAACTAGAAGCTAAAAATCCATCATCCTTTAAGCCGTATCAAGAAAATCATCCATTAGGTAGGGACAACTTCTCACTTGGGTGGTACCCTAGCAGGTATGCTGCTTGTCCTTAGTTTTCTGCCCTGATCATCTATCTGTGGGAATCCTGATACATGTTTTCATTGCCTGGGCAGGCCAGGTGGGTGGAGCAGGATGTGCAGGTGCATGGGTGTAGATTAAACAGGGACAATATACTGCAGAATAAACCAGAAAAAATCAGAAGAGAGAAGACATGCAACAGTGAGTAGGAAAGAGGAAGAAAAGAGATGTTGAGATAGAGACAGCAAGAAATACTGAAAACACAAAAAAGGTACATCACCATTTCTTATAAGAAAGAAGCAAGAAAAAAAGGAGCAAAACCATTTGGAGAGAAAAAAGTTGAAAGGGAAAAGGAAGAAGTTATAACAAACTCAGGCAATATTATATAAACTACAGGAAAACAGAAATGTCAAATAAAACTGACTCTCAGTATTTAGAAAACGTACAATAAAACATATATATGCAGCTATTTTAGTCCATTCATCTACAGAAGGCATTTTTCCCCCTCTCTATCAAGCTTTGCTTCTCCAGACAGTAGAAATGAGAAACCTCTTGTCAAATGCTGCATTAGTTTATACTATATTACAAACCAGAGCTTAGCTGGCTTATCTTTGTGATGAACATCCCACCAGAAATGACTGTATGTGAATGTTATTTACTATTGTAAATAACAAATGCTATTGTTGCAGTAGAAAGCATATTCAAATATATAGCATTCCACACGAGCCACAGAGGTGTACCCACTGACTTATTTAACACTACATTGCTAGTGAATGAACATTCTTCAGCTTGTGTTTGCTGCCTCCAAATTTTCTCTATCAAATATGTGGTCAGCTTACGAAGAAAGCGGGACATGATAGAGTGTGGAATCCTCCCTCCATACCACCTAAAAATGTCAATAATACATGTTCTGGAGACCAAACGCTAGTACAAGTCAACATCAGTGTACAACCTCATTCTCCTAGGACGTTCTCACAGGAATTACTTAATGAAAATCAGTAACAATTCTGTTGACAGTACAAAGTACAGGATTGATTGTGTCTGTTCTGCAAACTACATGAAATAAGAATAAAAAGCAGTGTACATTTGATTCAATGACTAAATGAACGAAACTAAATCATTTTGAAGACATGGAGGAAGTGCCTTCTTTTGAGTTAAAATACCTTTATTAGATGCCCACTTAAGAAACTTATCTTACAAAAAATACCCCAGAAATCCTTTTATAGTACAAAATGGAAATGGTTACCTTTTTTGTGTTATTCTTATCATATTTTCTCTAGCCACATAGAGAAAACATAATGTTCTAACTTTAAAGGAATAGGTTCAGCATCTTATTGGCACTTTATTTTGTGAAATATAAAGCTGAAGGGAAAATCTACTGATTATACCATACAATATTATAAATTATAAGCATATTGTAGGCAACCCATATGACTAACGTATTCCCTCTGAAAATGAAAAAAAAAAGTATTATTCCTGAACAGAATAAACATAAAACCAAATGTGCCGATACTTACGTCAATTAAATCCGAAAGGTCGTGAATATAGTACTTGAAAACAGAAGCATTAGTTGCTTCAAGGGTGAGCAGGTATTCATTACGGGCCTTAATAGATTTCAGCTTGTTTTCAGAATATTTTGCTTGACGCTAGGAAGAAGATTGTATATTAATGTATTTGAATTACTTGGTTTTTGGTGTGTAGCAAAAATGGTAACAATTCAAGCACACATTCCTATTAACAAGAATGAATCTTAGTTGCCAGCCTGTTATGCATATAACAATTGGAATACAAAGTGATAACTTAGCATTTTGTTTCAAATGTGACAAACCATATAGTAAGAATTATAGTGGGAATAAAGTATTCCCCTCTCTGAATTGCAATCAAGTCAAGTTATCTACAACCCACTGCTAGTTTATTACGTGTACCTTGTTTAATTTTATTTCCCAGCTGGACTTGTCTGTCTAATATCATGCTAAAGAATGTCAGAAATGCACTGAATTTACTTCAAATGAAGCTAAATAAAAGGACTACTTACTTTTTCCTTCATTTTTTCAATCTTTTTCACAGAGCTCCGTCTCTGGTGCCTTTCTTCTAGTCGAATATGAAAAACAGGGTCTCCTGACCTCCCAATCTGTTTTTCTTCTTGCTTCTCTGCCTCCTTCAGTTTGCTTTCTGCACTGATGCTCTCTGCATGATACATGTGGTATGTTTTCATGACCTGCAGAAGACAGAGTCAAAGGAGAGTTAGGACAAAACGAAAATACAAAGGTATCTACAGAAAAGTCACAGGGTCTTTGAGTAAAACACTCTCTTATAAACATGGAGCTTGGATAAGTTTCTTTGCCAACAGAGATTGAGGATTTCTGGTTGCATTTTTATTTTATTTTTATATAATAAATTCTAAATATTCTGAGTGCTTTACCAAGCACTATGAATAAAGAAAATGGTGATGGAGAACTAGTTGTAATGTAAGCGTGTGAGATCGTCTCTCATCCTGCCTCATTTCTGCTCAGAAGGGCCTTGCATCACTGAAATGTTTTGATAGGCAATGGGGCAGCAAGCTACCAAATATTTCAGTCAAATGTTGTGCAGAAAATTTTTTGGGGATTTTTTTTTTTTCATTGTTCTGATAGGAAAGAGCAAAATCCTTCATATTAAACTTCAGGATTCCTGTCTTTGAATGAAGACATGAAATAATGAGCAATAAAACTAAATCTATGTCAGTGCCATATCTATCTGACTTCTTCAGTGCTAAGTTAACAGCTCAGCTGCGGACATCGAATGTTTGAAAGCAGAAAGGACCCCTTCAGCACTGAGGAAAGGGGAAGGAAGCAGAGGCAACGGGAAGCTTCTGTCTGGGAGCACATGCCCAGCCAGCTGGATGGCTGTCCACAGCCTGGAAAGAAGTGGCTCCCAACTGCGCAGACAGCAGATTGGGCACGACCTAAAACCAGGTGAGAGCTGGAAAAGGAGCCACCTGATAAATAAGTTGTGAAGACGCTTTCCCCATAGCCCCCCCAGTTAATACCGTTATCCTCCCCCCACACACACACTGGCTCTGCAGCCAAGAGAGCTTGGGCTGCCAGCCTGCAAATACATGCTTGCACAGACCACAAAGAGGGAGAGGGACTGGTTCAGCCCAGTCCTCCCTTTCTTCTTCAAGCAAGAAAAGCCTCAGCTTGAACGCTGCGTAGTGGGCAGCAAGCAACCACAAACCACCCGCCTCTGCTGGAGAGGGCTGTCTCTGCCCACCTCCAGCACAGAAAGCCTCTTTCCACCTTCCCCAGCCTTTGTTTTTTTTTTGTTTGTTTGTTTTTTGTTGTTGTCTTAAGTTTCAAGCAAGGAACAAAGAACGAAGGCATCCTCAGGCTGCCAGCAGCCTCCTCTCTTCTTCACAGGGTGCCAGAGTGCTCTCTCCAGCAGATGTTATCTTTGGGCTGAGGCCATGCAAGCCATTCACATCTCCTCTGAAGGACACAGCCAGGGAGGAATCAAATGGGCTGTTCCTCCCTCAGCAGAGCTTTGTGTGACCCCTGGAGGAGACAGACTAATTTGGGGAGCTGCCTTGAAATAGGAGGAGTACTTTTTGTAACTGAGTAGTTAGGCCAGCCTAAGGAGCATCCATAGAGTAGCTCTATGGGGACACTAAAGCTAGATAGTGCAAATTCACTGCAGCATGGCTTAGCGTGTATTGACACAAACCAGCTGCACGCCATGTCAGGTGATGGCTGAACAGATGCATATTTAAAGTCTTGTGCAAAGAAAGAAAGAAGCTTTTAGAGAGCTGCAATTCTGTACAACTATGTATGTTATGCATATGTTATACACCATAACAGTGTGTTATATATATATAACATTAAATAGTATGTCACTATTTAATACTGATGCCATGCTGTTGATACAACTGAGATAGTATTGGTATTAAAAATGAAACAGGCAACTCTTCACTAACTTCCTATAGTAAGCTAAAACAGTTGGAGACGCCCATCAAAAAGAGTGGCCTTGTTTTTACTTTTAAAAACGTATGTTTACAGCTCTCTGCTGAAAAAAACCCAAACTGCCCGGAGCAGGGTTTAGTGTTATTGCTGCTGCTGTTATTTTATAGCACAGTCGCACTCCAAGACCCGACCAGAGTGCAGAGCTCCCCGCCCGAGCACTGTCTACACCCGCCAGGATCAGCCGCTGCCCCAGCAGCTCACCGTCCACACGGACGAGGCAAAAACCCAAAGACGAAACAAGCCAAGCTGGGAAAAGAAGGCAGGCCTGCAGAGTTGAGATCTGCACGGTTCCCAGCTTAACCAAATGGCATCTCCAGCTCCCTATATCCTGCACTGTTACCAAAGGCGTTTCTAAAGTTGTTGATAATCTGTACCCAGAGTCTAACTCATATAGCCACATGGAAAGAATTACTGAAAAGAGAAGAAATGCACTTCTTAAAGAAATGATTTATAAAACAATCCTGTGAAGCACAGAAAGTGATATGGCTCTATTAAAAATGATGGGAAAAGGAAATAAAAAACAAGGTTGTGCCCTTCTCTTTTGGCCTTTTTACTCAATTTTTTGCATGCTGCTTTATAGAAGTCTACAGGTGTTTGCTTTTATTTTTTATCTTTTGCTGTGTGTCAGCTCCAGCGACTTTTTAATTGGTGGGACAAGGCTAACTCATGTGTCTTACCACCTAGGAAAGTTATTTTCTTTTTTACTCTCAGTTTTTCTGCCTGCAAAGAGGGAACAATAATAATATCTCAGAGTTTCCTAACAGCACATCTCAAAGCATCTGACTTAAGTGGTGAAGCAAGGATTTGTTCTGCTTGACAAAAGCAATAAGCATTGAAGATTTTGAAGCGTTTTTTCTGAGCGCCACGTAGCCCAGTGGACTAGGCATAAACGTCCTTCTGCAGCGGCTGTGACATTTCAGCTTGCCTCCTTGTTGAGTGAAGGAGTACAAGTGCATCACTACCAGCTCTCACCAAGAGGCTCAGATGCCTCCACGCTGACTCCGCTAACCTCACATCACTGAAGAATACTTCATCCTCTCACTGCCTGCTTACAGCACATGCTACCAAATCCAGTGTGTCTCACTCTACACCGACTGACAGCCAAGTTTTGTGTGAGAACAACTTGGAGCTTATAGTCTCTATGGGGAACCAAAATGTCTACTTGCAATCCATGTTCTCGCAACAATCTCTGCACAAGTTCTTAGTACAAATGATTCCTAAGATAACTAAAATTGAAAAAGAAGCCCTCCCTTTGGCAGTATACGCCGGGATGGACAACAGTCAGAGTTTGTCCTACCCGAGCCACATTGACTTAGAAATCAATACAGACTATGTACAGAGCAGTGATCAGCCTATGCATATGACTCCTGTCCAGTTTGTTATGTTGATAGCACTGCTTATCTCATGCACTAGTGAGATCATTATTTTGCAAGCCCCTGGGGAAAGCTGACAGCTCCAGCCTTTTTCATGATTTGTCAATGTTTTTTAAGAGCTGATATTGCAGCAGCTAAACTTAACTTGAGAAAGCATTAGACAGATACATATGGAAAATAAATGGGAACAAGCTAGGGAGTTGGCTTCCAAGTATTTGAGTGCACGCTTCCTCAACAAATTAGCTTAGAATTTGCATGCTAAGTTGCCAATCTGCATCTTTCCCTTAACTTTATACCATCTTTCCTCCCTGGAGTTTTTAAAAGACTGCTAGATACTGTAAAAGACAGGCTTGCCTAATCCTTCCAAATAGACTTACTGTATGAAAAGTTCTAAGATCTGTGAATATGTAACCATATACAACCACCCATAGCAGATCCATAGATCTGTTATTCAAACAAGAAATAATCCGATGAAATAAGCAATATCGCTTCTCAAATGTTCACCAAACTGTTGAACGATAGACTATCCTGTGAGAGTATCCATCACTGAACCGACTTTAATTAGTCCCCAAAGTGCTTATTGATCGGCCATCAAGTATGCACTGAAAAGAGAGAGCAAGGTCGTAATTTTGCAGATGCTGAACTGTCATCATGACATATGCTGCACTTCTCTGCTGTAGTGAACAAGCATTGTTAAATGCATACTAGTTCCTTTCTAAAATTAAACGGTGAGTTTATCTCATATTAATTTAGCAGGTTTATTCTGCAGATCCAGCGATGGAAAATATAGATTTCTGTCAGACAACTAAATCAGGCTACAAGCAGATGAAAAAGATTATGCTACCCAAACTATGTACTCTCCCACTTGTAGGTGACAGACTGTTCACTTAGTGATATAAATGTGTTCTTTGGTGTGCCAAATTTTCAGCATCGTTCATAAGAGCTCAGCAAGTAGGCTTAGGGCAGAAGATAGCACTTATCACAGGGAAGGGCACATTAGAGCAAACCCTTAGATAATTATTTTATTTAAACCCACAATTGTTATCTGGGCAAATCCATCAAGAAGACAGTAATTAGTGCTGGACTTCTGTGGGCTACAAGAGGAACGTTCCCACAGCAAGGCGCTGGCTTTCCTTTTCGACATGCGTACTTCTTTTCTAAAAAAGCTTCTTAACCAAACGTACTAAGACTGAATGCTACAAAGTTAAAATATATTGGAATTACCATGTGTTACCATGTGCTTTATTTTTATAATAAAACTGCATAATTAAGAGCTTTTTCATAGTGTTTCTCAGGAAATAGGCATTTAACAGAACAGTAGTTCATCCCTGTTGCAATTACCGTGTTAGAATTGTTTCAGAATTGTCTCTGATAAGTTGTGAGTTCTTATCAGAAGGTGGAGTTGTAAGGGATTCATTAAATCAGGTTAGCTAGTACTTTCCCCAAGAAATAAGTAAAATCTTATGCCAATTTTACTACATCAGTGGCCTCTAGCAGTTACGTAGGCTCAGTATTAGCTGTTTTCAGCATCCTGTTCACTACCAAACCAACCTCTGATGTGGTTCCAGGAATTGTAACTGATATATTAGTACCAATACAGAATTACTGATTTCACCTTCTCAGATCTCTGGTGTGCTACAGTAAATTGGATTTAACTTTTCTATAGAGAATCCAGACTCCGTGTTATTTCAGCAAGGAAAAAAGAAAATCTGGCAGCAACTACCTTGAGAAATTAAACAGCCAAGATTTTTAAAGAGTAAGATAAAGCAATGGAAAATGCAAGCGGGACAGCAGCCCTGTCTTATTTAATATTAAATTGTTTGCTTTGGACTGTCCTTACTTTT